ACCAACAACAAATCATTTGCCATTTGCCAATCATTGGACATATGATCTTCATGAAATGTCTTACTAATAATTAATGTACTACTGCATATAACATCATCCAGACACAAAAGTGTCTTGTATTATACATTACACAAAGCTTGAAACTGAAGTGTATCCAGGTGTACCAACCCAGTTCCAGTTCATGCCAGTCACTTGGACAACAACCAAAAACTGATATCAAACACCACTTTAGTTCATGCGGGGCTCTGGGAAGACAACATCTGCGCGATGTCTTCCACCATCTTTGAGCACGCCAGTTCAGATCTGAAGGTCAGCCTTTTTGCTGAAGATACAAATGAGACATTTCAACAGAACCCTCATTAAATTTCCTTTGTGGCGACCAGTACAAAGAAGCCATGCTGCTCTGTCTGGCGCCAGGGGATGCCAGGAAATCTAACTTGAAATAACGGCCTTGGGGAGCCCCAGCCTCTGGGCCGGGCTCCCAGCTTCCTGCGCGCTACAGGGAAGCAGGACCCCAGGCAGGGACCAGTCCATTCAGACAGAGCGCCTAGAAAAATGCCAGCACTCACTTCCGCGCTCTTCAGCAGGGATGCTACCTTGCTGATATTATGCTTTTTTCAATCCTTTTTTCCTGCTGGCATTAAGCCAACAGGAAGCCAGGACCAGCTGCACCAGTGTCTGAGATGGGCACATGGCATATGGTACGCCTGTGAAAAGGATGGGTGCTGTCATGAGCAAAGTGATTTTTTTTTTTAAAAGGAGCAGAGGAACAGAGACAGAGAGGGAAAAAAAATTCCAAACATCAGCAAAGAGCTAATTTATTCCACAGGATAGGTTTCCCTGCTGGGCACAACAACAGGAAAAATAAAGATGGAGAGAGATGGAGGGAGAGAGGGAGAGGAAGAGAAGCTCGAACACAAGTATGAAACAACACAAGTGCTGCTCACTGGCTTTTATCAAGTCTGCAATGGTGTGAGGAGCTGTTTTTAAGCTTGCTGTGCTGTCTTGCAGCGATCAGGCTGGTGTTTGAATACTGGTGACAGCATCTTCTGTCAGAGCTTCAGAGGGCAATTAGAAAAGACACTTTCTTTCCTCTCAGCAAAGAGCCTCCTTCTGAAGGCTTCATCCAGTAATGACAGGGCATTGTAGCACCTTAATAGGAACAATCTCGGTAATAAATACCTTCAGGTGTCTGGGGCTTTGACACTGGCAGCGTTCCGCCATGGTGCTCTGCGAGATTTCCAAAGCTTTTCCAGAAACGTTTCAGAAGCCAGCATCGGTGTATTCTGAGGGCAGTAATGTCAAGCGAGTGCTAAAGGGACCAGCAAGGTGAAAGAACTCCTTAGGTGATCAATCCGTTTACATTCTGGGGGAGGAGTCTATGACCTCTGAAGCAAGCCAGGAGAACACAGAGCAACAGGATCAAACCCGTGTTAGCGACTAGTCATCGAGCAGGTGTTTTCCCAGTTGTCCCTGCACATCTGTCAGCATGGTGCTGGTGACAAATGAAAAAGTGTACTCCCAGGGACAGAGCTCACATGAGGTGCAAGCAGAGCCCTGCAGCTCAGATAGCATCTACATGAGCCTGGACTGTGTCATTAGGAGCCTCGGTTAGCATTGGTCAATGAGACATAAATCCTGTTTGAACCTGGCTTGTCATTGACCAATAACACAGGGATCCCCCAAACACCGCCAGGATTGGGCAGGCCTGAGTCAGTGAGGCTACTCTTGATGTCTTGTGGAATAGAGGCCTCTGGGACATTCCCGTGTGCAGTGCTGTCAAGGAGAGATGCATTCTTGCCCCAGTAGGTTCCAAGACACCTTCAAGGCACTGTGGAGCTTGCAGCTTATAAAATGATGAACAGATCTGACAGGCAGGCAAACCATAGGAGAACTTGCACAGCTCCTCATTCTCCCTTTATGGCTCAGGGATATGCAGGGAGCAGCTCTGACTGACAACCAGTGATTCCAAATCCCAAATTACCTACAGGTGATCACAAGGACTCACTGTTACAGCCTGCTTCATCTCTCCTCTCCAGGTCATTTTATTCTATAGACTTACAACAACTATCAGTCACTGAACTCCCGTAAAAACCCTGGCATAACATCTAATAGCTATCGTACTATGCTGTATTTGTTCTAATTGAGCACTCAGTTACTTAATATAAGCCTTAAACAGTCAAATAATTACGTTAAACAGGCCATTTGTATTGCTCACAGCTCTTAACAAACTGGAGTTTTCAAGATACCTATAAAATATCTATAGAAATACATAATACCTCATTAGAAAAATGTGTAATAATACATATTAGCTCAATTAAATGATAATTGAAAGTGAACCAAAAACTGAAATCCAGTGAGGATCTTTAGGCCTGAACCAGTCCAATCATTCACAAACAAAGAGATTACAGGTCTCAGCAGATGTCTGGCAGTGTGGCACAGGTTAAAAACACAAGGATAAAACTGAATCTCTCAAAAGTAGCATTTTTTAGTTCTAGATGGTTGCAATTTTATGTCTCAATGAAACCCAGTTCAAAGTTTATGAAAGTACAGCCCTGTTGCACAACTGTTGAACGAACTAGGACACCTCTGAAATAAAAATCTATTTTTCTCCCGTTTATACATTTAAATCAGCACGTTAACGGCCAGACAGAAAACGAAGGATGTCTCTGCACAGGACAAACTCTCTGTGGCCACTATGCTTCAGAGTGGTGATGAAGACTCTCCTCAGCTGTCTGTCACTTTTCCAGCTCAGCACTGAGGTCAAAGGGCACTAATGTAGTCATTCATCAAGAAACGAAAGCTAACGTGACTCACATTTGAGCCACAAACTTCACATGGCCACACAATATGCCTTTCAGACTGCATCTATTAGATCACACCCTTTGCATATCAGTATACTAATTATCTTACAAAAACACCATGTCTTTTTTCGGACAAAGGAGATTGGGAAATTACATGCCACACCAGTAAGGCATTATTCAGAAGACTGTAGTCATCTTAGGTCACCATGTTGTGAAAAGGATCTTGCTGCCCTGAAAGAAATTCATACAAGAGCAAAGACTTCTAGGACCCAAAGGTTAGTCCTGAACCAGAGGTTAAAGACCCTGCATAGCTCAAAAGAGCCGATGGGTAGATTTAATCAGAACAATGTAAAACTCCAGGCACACAAGTGAAATGAAGAGCTGGAAACAGGAAGTATGTTACACAGTCATCCATGTGTTGGGAGCCTGTCCAAAAAAATACGTTTATCTCAGATTATATCACCAAATTTGTTTTCTCAGAAATTTCTCAGAAATTCTCTTCCATTAGCCAAAATAACAAAAACATAAAATTAACTCCTTTCTGAGATCTAGCTATGGTTTTATGGAAACTTTTCAGCCAACTATACAAGAGGTTGATCTAATTCCTAACCTCTAGAATAATAATGGCTTAACTATAATTCTTTTACTAACTTCTTTCTCTTCACCAGTCTTTCTAAGTTAATCAGCTTTGTCAACAGGTGTACTTAATCAAGGACCTATCAACCTCATTTTCACAGATTCTTTTCAAGCACTGGAGTGGTTTCTCCCTACAGAAGCCTCCAAGGGACATTTCAGCCTTCCGCTTGAGAATCCAGATTCCCAAACACCACGGCGGTAAAACACTTCCCCAGTCGTGCTCTTCCAACAACCACTACAATCTTTCAAGAAAAAGCTGGGCGAGAGGTAGCCAACTGCAGAGTAGCAGCGACAATGAGCAACATGGCTGCATGGCGTCCTCTCGTTTTTTCAGCCTTTTTGTATTTGCATGTTCAGACCGCTGGGCTTGCTCTGCAGCAATATGAAGAGACTTCCCATCCCTTCCTGTGCCCAGCTACACACCCACCAGTGCTCCCAGCACTGACACAAACTCTTCTCCTGCAGTCAACAAGCCCCACTTGGAAGCTCTTTAAACAGACTACTATTACGTTACATTTTTACCTTGTCCCCCAGTTTTCCCCCTCGTGATACCCTCAGGGTTAATTATAATTGTCTTAAACAGCCACCACGTTTTTAAACATTTATGGATGCATGCATTACACAAGGACATTAACATAGCCAGAATGTTAACCCTTGAGCTCGCCCAGAGCCTAGGAGGACTGGCAGCTGCTGAAACATCAGCTGATTGTTGGAACAAACAGAGAATTAATACCACTATTATGCCCCAACTTGAAAAGTGCCCTAACAATTTGAACAGGCACCAGTGAACCCAAATTCAAATCAATCAGTACATTCTTCTAACTGGATTTTTGCCTATGTAGAATAGCTCTTATTTAAATGGAGGTATCAAAGGCCATCAGTTCATCTGCAGTGTTACCACCAGCTCTGTAGTCTGATTGTGTCAGATCTAAGCTAAGCAAGGCTGGTTCAGGCCAGCACTGGGATGGGAGACCTCAAAGTAAACGGCTACTGTTCTAAGTGGTAATCAGAATGTGGTAAACAACCTGTCCTTCCTTAAATTCAACTTCAATTCATTTTCTGTAGTAACTCTACACTTGACCCAGCCTGCTGTATAATGGGACTACTGGTGCAGCACTGCTATCATGTCACCCAGGTGGAGGCTGTACTTCAATGGTGAATGAAGAGTGTTCCCTCCTATATGTAAAGTACTTTGGAATAAGGATGAAAAGTGCTATATCAATTTGCATGAGATTGTATTATTTTGTACTTGCTATGTAAGTGAAATCCATTGTTTTTTGTACTTGTTACTACCCTATAAAACATTACAATTTTGTAACTTCATAATTCCTGGTGTAGTTAATTGCTTAACAGCCAAATGTCAAATCATATTCAAACCTGTGTATCCTTAAAATATTCCTTGAGTGGAGGTATAATACCAATAAAAATAACAATATAAGTTAATATGCATGAGCTTGTGAGCTTTAAAGGCTGATGAATATGGCTCAGTCCAGCAAATGCTATCAGCAGAAGAAGCAGAATTAATACCAATATCAATAAAAACAGTAACAGCAGCCCTACCTCGCAGAAGAGGGTGAGTTTGTCATCGGGCAGCAGTCCATTGGCTTCATCTAGCAGGAAGTCCCTTCTGATGAACTTCTTGAAGCCCCAGTCCTTCCCCTGGACAAACCGGTACGCCCTCTGGCTCTCTGAGCAAACAGACACAGGACACACCTTCTCAGGGATCTCAGGTACATGGGAGAGGAGGAAGCTGACCTCAGAGTTCCATCTTGGAAGAACATCAGGATGAGTTTTTGGCCCAGTCCCATGTGGGCAAGCACTCACCCGGCACTCAGGTCTGTGACAGTTCTCTACATACTGATAATGCAATTGTTTAGCTAAATATTCTGATCAGGATACATAAGCATAAGCAAAATAACATAAAAATGACAGCCCAACAGCTGAAAACAATGCTAACAATGCTAGAGGTCCACACTAAAAAATCATGGACAATGTCTCAGATGAGGTTTGATTTCATTTATACTACTATCTTGTTTTGACTGCTCTCTGAACTCAAAACAGGAACAGTTATAAATGATTCATGGTAAAACACACAATAATATTCTCATATTTACGGTGAAAAAACTGCGGGGGATTGTGATGGTTGGCAGTGGGAAATCTTGTAAGTTACAAGATTTGTGCAAAACCTCTTTTTTTCTCAACCTAGCTGCACCCTCACTGGAGACTCCTGGCGAAACAACAACCGAAACAGCCAGAAAGGGCACACTGCAGTCCAGGGTGTGTGACTTGTCCTGTACTGTAGAGTTAAGCTTTGAAGAGATGAGCCAGCCCTGAGCCTACTGGGAAACATGACTTTCCTGCTTATCTTCACAGATGAAATGTGAGGACACGACCATTGAAAACTTCAAACACTTATTTCTGAAGAAAAAGAAAGCTGGTTTAAAATAAAAAAAAGCTTTTGATTTCTGAGGATCAGAGACGAAGAAAGGAGCTGGAACATTTGTTACCAACTTGTTTCTTTAAGCTTTAGATCATAAGAACAGTTACAAATGAGAAGGAGCCATTCAGCCCATCTCGCCCTTTCAGTAGTTAGCAGCTTATTGATCCAAGAATCTCATCATGCCACTTCCTGAAAGAAGCCAGGGTATCGGCTTCAACATCATGGCTGAGTAGCTTACTCTGTGCCTCAGATTTTGAGCCCCTGTATCAGGTCCTCTCAAGGATTTCTCTGTTCAAGGCTAGAAAGGATCACTTCCTTCAACCTGTCAGTGTAGGACATTCCCTTATGCCTTTTTAATTTCCATTAATTCTTTAAGCCCCTTTGTGTCAATTCAATGCCTGACCATCCGAAACAATTTCTGAGAACGCTTGCATTTGTTGGCTTTTCATGTGCAGTGCTTCCAGACAGCAGTCGAGACTATTTTCCTCCTCTACTTCTCCTGTTACCCTAATTCCTAACAGAAAGTGCACCAATCTGTTAGATATGTGCTGCTGGATCTGAGCTCGGCTGCTCTCTCTCATTCTTATGGCTTTTGTCTTATGTTTCCTTATCATGCATTACTGCATTATCAAAAAGCCACCTCGGAGATGAAGTGAGAGGAAAATAAATGTCCACAAAATATAAAACAAAGACCAACCATGTAAGATACTGTATGTAAAATATTTTTACATGTTTTTCTTTGTCCTTGTGTTCATTTGTATGTTTTTATATGTGTTCAGTTATAGATTCTTAACCAAAAAATACTAAGGCAACAATGCACCATGCACAAAACGAACATAAAGAAACATCCCAGCTCTTGCTGCAAGGACAGGTGTAGACACATGCTGTATCTGTGGGAGGGTGCTGCTATTAACATGACAGGGATCAGTATATCACTGTTCATTTTATCATTGTTCAAATGTAATACAAAAAGGGAAAACGGTTAACTTCATCAATGCACAGGCAAAAGTCCGATAAGTCACTGAGCCTTAACCACCTCCATGATGCTTTTCAAGTTGTGGGTACCTTTGTGCTACACTGTCACAGACCCAAGATGGGCCTCCTGTGGTTTGTAACCTTCCTTAGGTTCTTATTTCTGATTGTCTGGCCCGTAGATCAGACAATGAAATCTGACAGCATAGCCCTGTTGGGAAACAATGTCTGACATCTGTTTATTGTAAGACAACCACTTCGGTAATACAGAACCCGTGTCCCACTTTCACAATGACACCGGGCATTTTTCATTCTTGGAATGAGCAGCTACAGCGGAGAGCGGCGAGGAGAGTCCTGTCATTGTTATATTAGCCGCTGCTTTATGCTGACACCTGCAAGCTGTGAGATTTCACTGCAAATTACCTCCAATATCCCTTTTTCATATGCAGACCATTTCATTTCACTCCAACTGTCAATCTATGTTCAATATATTCAGCAAATTACACTGGGAGTGTATACACTCAGTTTTATTAAATGCAAAATCCTGAAGAAATGTAGCACCAGTGATAACTAAAAGCCATCAGAGAGGTAGAGAGCAAAACTGGATATCAGTGGTAAAGGGATGTGAGTAAGGTTCTGAAAAATATAGTGTTGTGCATTATAATGACTAAAGTAATCTTTCAAATTGCTCTTTTAATTTGCAAAATTTTAAGATTTCTTTAACTTATGAGTTTTTAAGCCCATCACACTTAATGAGGTAATTGGATGCAGAAAAGAATCCTCAAACTCTGTCTGTCCAATGTCACTCACAGCCCCCAACCCAGTATGTCAACCAACGTAAACCTGTTCAGGATGGGACCAATAAAGATAAATGGTGATAAACTTAAATACAGAACTGACTCCTCTTCTGAGAGACATCAATGCATCTCTTCTGCTCTGATCTGCCCTAGACTGACAACACAAATGCAACAGTATAACAACCCACACACACTGACATTAATGTGTGATTAAGTTTTTCCAGTTGGATAGCTGGTTGATCCTGGTCCACCCCTCCTGTAGTCGTAAAGAGTCTATGAAGGTCAGAGATGGTCCTAAAAACTCTGTCTTGCTCACGCTGACAAATTCCACTGTGCTTGTTATAATTCTTCAGGCCCGTTCAGCAAAGACAGATGTGGGAATCAGCTAATCAAGAAATACTTGCTTTGGTATTCTACAGATCGTCTGTTATTTACTGCCAGATTTTACAAATGATCCCCCTCCCATCCCAGAAAAAGAGAGCATCAAATTACACTAGTGTCAAATGCAGTGGGGGTATGAAAAAGTGAATTTTTAGGCTTTTTCCTCACTTCAAATATTTAACTAGGAAAAAGGGAAGCCTTTGAGACGGCTTCTCCAAAGAGCATCTCAGGGAGATGACAGGAAAATGTCTAGGCATGGTCTTTTATTCCCATACAGAGTGCTGCTCTGAAGCCAAGGGTGCTGGCTGGGAAATACTGGAGGTCGGCCAGCTTGAGTCAAAGCAGTCTGCACACCAGACCGACCCTTTCGGAGCCCATTTAGAACTAGCGTGTGCTGCTGATACTACTGGGGCTCGGACGCTGGAACAAACCCTGTCTCAGGGATACAGATGGAGAAGGAGCCAGTAAAGAGATCTTTGCAGCTTGAAAGCATAGCTAATCTTGGGTCTCTCCCTGTTCCAGTCGCTCTCTCTCTCTGCAATATCTGGATGCCAACAATCATTTAGTGTGCCCAAGACCATCTGTCTGTGCCTCTGCAGGGCTGGCTGTAGCGTCCCAGTGGAGCAGAATGCTCTTCCCCAGCCAAGCACAACAAAAGACCAAAAGAAAAAGGTGCAGCCTGTCGCTGGAAAGCAGGGATACCAGGATTCCTCTCTATACTGAACAGAACAACGGGCTTTGAAAGACAATGTGGATTTCACAAAAAACATTAAAATCCCCTTTGAAGCCCTCCCTCGACTTCTCGCAGTACGCACAAAGTTAAACCTATTGCATACAGCTTATGTAGCTCAATGTAATGGCCTCAAGAATGAAAGGTTATTTAAAAGTACTGTATGTGTTCATATAAATTGCAGCACCAGGGACACAAATGCAGCATGTGGTTAGGGTGGCTTGATTGCAAGCCAGCTCTTTGAAAACCTACTCAAGAGAATCCTGTGTCAGAGATGGACAACCAAGACTCCAGAATGGCTAAGTCAGTAAAGGCATCTGAGAGGAAAGAGCCAAGGGTTCCGTGAGCAGCAGAACACAACTGAATAACTGCAGATTGAGACTGGATGAGCTCAAAGTCGTCTAGGGTTTCCACAGCTCGTGGGGTTAAGTGTGGGATCTCCGCTACTCCCCTCCATCTGACACTTAACCCTGTAGCAATGGGACTGCAGGGTAATCGAGAATCAGAGAGTCAGAGGGTGTGTGGATGCAAGTCCACACCTTTCATTTGCTGGTACAACAGATGGCATCGGGCAGGCAAGAAAACGTCATAATCAACAGATTACATCACCTCATCTCCTGTTCCCAAACAACTCTCTCACTCAGCCAACATCACCCCTGCACCAACTAACCAGGTAATCATAAAAGATTAATTAACATTTGGCAAAAAACATTTAATCAAATCTGTACACTTTATTATTCTTAAAAACAACACGCAAGAATAGAGTATATTTCTGTTTCTGTTGGTGCTCTGCATCATTCAAAAAGACCTAGAAAACTTCACAGACTACGGATTGTCTTCACTAAAATACATTCTATTTTACAACTGCAACAGCTAGAATCTTACCATGCATGCTCTCTTTTCCAGCAGTTATGTGTCAATAGATTTCTCTAAATCAATACTCCAAGTTGTTAGAGCTGTCATAAAATATCTTGCGGGGCCTATTTTAGCTCCAATCTCATGGGACACATTACAATCACAACCCTCCAGAGACTGAGACCTGTCGCAGAAATTATCTGTACAAGCACAAGTCTGAGGGTACAGCATCAAACTTGAAACCTGGCTCTCTCTGTCAGTAAATCTGTCTCCAGTACAAAAGGATATGCCTGCAGGCCCAGGGAGTGAGACTAAGAGCTCCACCACACTGCTTTCTGTCGAAAGGAAGGAGCGATTCTAAGAAAACAGATTTTTTTTCTATTTTCTCACTGCAAAAAAAAAAGTCAGAGATTAAAGCACAGATAACTACCACCATATGAGATTTCTGGTTATATGTGACATCGAAGCTCAGGTTTCTTAACCGCAAACCCTTTTATCTTGAAAGAAGAGGAG